TTATCGTGAAAATATGGAACCCCATGAAGTAGGACCCCGGGGATTACTGGTAGATTTTCTTAATATGAATAGTTAAAGTATATTAACAATTTGGATGAAAAGTGAGGAACAAAAAGGAAGGCAGGAAATGAGAATTACAAAATTTGTAAATTAATAGAATTATTCTAATTCTTACATTTATCGATATTTCTAGGAAGGCAGGAGATGAGAATTACAAAATTTGCAAATTAATAAAATTTGTTGTAATTTGTACACTTATCGATATTTCTAGGAAGGCGAGAGATGAGAATTACAAAATTTGTAAATTAATAAAATTATTTTAATTTTTACATTTATCGATATTTCTAGGAAGGCAGGAGATGAGAATTACAAAATTTGTAAATTAATAAAATTTATTGTAATTTTTACATTTATCGATATTTCTAGGAAGGCAGGAGATGAGAATTACAAAATTTGTAAATTAATAAAATTTATTTTAATTTTTACATTTATTGATATTTCTCGGAAGGCAGGAGATGAGAATTACAAAATTTGTAAATTAATAAAATTTGTTTTAATTCTTACATTTATCGATATTTCTATTTATTTGAAGCAAAGTGGCATGGAAATGATGGAAGCCGGAAAAACGTTATCTGGAAAAGGTGAATGCGAGCAGGAACAGCAAACGGCTTCTTCGTCTTCGTCTTCGTTCTCCTCCTCGTGGTGCATCGATTCTGAAACACGTCTTTTCAAAAAACTTATCATTCATAAACCAGCAGGTGAGTTGAATTACAATACCTCCACCATGAAGATCTTGCGCCCGTGGTGATCGAAGACGACCATATTTGGCCGTCGGTGTTCCATGGGTGATTGCGAGACTAACACCATATCTCATAGGAGCTTAGCGGATGGGTTTTCGCGCACCGGGGGAGACATCTGATTGGTGTAGTGGACTGAGGGGAAACCGTATCGCCGGCAGGGCATGAAGTACAGGTCCCGTGCTACGCTGTTATGCCTGTCGACGTATAGACTAGATAGCTACCGCGGCATTTTTTTTTTTTTTTTTGTGTATTTATTCTCAGCAGCATAAATTTGAATAATATCAAAGCAGCATTCAGCCATATGAAGCATTTGTGACATGGAAAACTTATACTTTTTACGCTAAATCAATGAAAGGGGTAAAAACTCGCTCAAATTAGCTTTCAGCTAGAAGTGAAGGTACTCGAGAAGTGGTCTGAATTGGGCAATTATTGGGCCACTGAATAGCCACCCACTGGCAAGACTTACAATTTGTTCGTAATATCTACTGATTACCGCAGTCGTCGTACTGACGGGGTCCAGTTGTGGTAATGGTAAGAAATGTATACGACTTGTTGGACCGAAACATTTCTTGCTATTATAATAATTTTATTAATTTACAGATTTTGTAATTCTCATCTCTTATCTTCTTTTTTATTCTTCTCTTTTCATCCATTGTTAATATACCTTCCTATGAAACTGTATACGACTTAATGGACCGAAACATTTCTTACCAATACAATAATCTCACGAATTTTTTAATTTTCTAATTTTCATTCCTTACATTCTTCTTTTTTCCATTCTTCTTCATTCCTTCTTATTATAACTTTCTATTACAGTAGTTTCCTCTTTCGATGATTTGCTTAAGCTGGTAGTAAGTTTAACTCCCTGGCATATGCTAATACCAATTTAATTCGTAAAAGGATTGGTACTGCATATAAAAACAAAAATAGTAAAATAAGAAGTATGTCAGAAACATGGAGATTTTAATTCGTAAGAAGCATATTAGCAATGTCAATCCTGAATTATGCTGTTCGAAAAAAAAATTCTTCCGGAAAATCGAAGATTCGATTTCATTATTAAAACAATCAATCCCTCAGCGATTCGTTCGTTTATTTCACTATAAATTCGTATTAATGCATACCGAGGTAGCAAAATTTATTTACAATCTCCTAGCCAGGGATATTCATTGTTTATATCTCTAAAATTCCTACAACACTTACTAACAAGGGGAAGGGGGAAATTATTGTGGTTTTGCCAGTGGAAAGTTATTCAGATGCGTTCTGGAGCAGCTTCCAAGTTGTTACGTCTTTTTTCTTGGTAAGTAAAGAAATTTTGGCTTTCAACATCGACGTTCAGGTTGAGATCTGTGATTCACATGGGCGGACCCAGAGCGGTATTTTTGCAGGTGTTTCAAGACATTTTCATATGATGTGCCTTCGTGATTACATGAACAATGTCTACGAGGATGAAGACACCGATTTCGAAGATTTCTTAGCACCAGAGGATTTGCAAAAGTTTGCTGCTGAGAAAAACCTATCAGATGTTCCGCGAGTTTACAAGCCAAAATACAAAATCAGGCCAACTTCTCGTCAGGTTTTTGTCTTTCTTTAAATCTGGGGATTGTTATAATTGGCCCAGAAAAATAATAATCAAATTAGCAATTTTTGCTCGTAAAAGAGCAGGCGCATTGCAAAAAAAAATACCAAAAAGATAGGATGTGGAAAGGAATCCGCAGGGTTGAATTTTAGGCTCATCTTATGATGTAGAATCACTGAAGGGGCACACTTTAGAACTACGAAAATCCATTTCAGCACAAGCATTCATTGCAAAATTATCGCTTTGCCTACTATATATTACTTTTTGATAAATTGCATTTTACAGCATGATTCTATAGCTACGCAGTTGGGAAAATTTTCACTTGCTTAGCTGTACGTGAGCGAGAAATGTCCCTTCAAAATTTCTGCTTTCTGGCTTTTCTGTTTTCCGAGTTTGCAGTTTCTCCCGCCATAATTTTCACGTGGACGTACGCGGGCTCAGACTTGCGCGAAGACTGGCATCGGGGTCTTGGGATGGCACTTGGCTGGAACCTGGTAATTAGCCTGTTGGCAGTCTTAACGTACGTTTTGCTTCCTGAACACTTATCCTAACAAAAGCACTTGCAAGGCTTTTACTTTTCCAGATGCCATTGGCGTATGTTGAGCATCACCACTTTGTCTCGAAAATTGTCACTCCTAGACCACGATGTGAGGTACCTTGTCGTTCAGGAGTAGTAAATATTAGGGATTTATTATATCAGTGACCAGGATTTACCAAGATTTACAATAGCAGTAATTTTCTGCTGTGGTCGATTTCACAGCCTTTTCCGTAGCCTATTTTGAAATGTGTAATTTCCAGATTTGGGACAAACTGAATGAGTTATATGATATGGTGCAGATTGAGGAAAATGAGTATATACCGGATGAGTTCATGACAAAGCTGGAATTTTTTTTACCGGAACAAGAATTTGGTGATTTGTGGCGCAAAAAAATGGACAGCAAACGACAAAATTTCATCGCTCCTCACGCTACTAGCCGATCACATATACGCAGAAAATGAAAATGTGCTAGAATGTACTTGTTGTTGTTTTGTAATTTATGATTTCCTGGGACCAATTCTTTTGGACAGTCGAATATCTAGCAATATTCGGGCTGTGACAGACTGGACTACAAATATTGATGGGTAGAAGCTCATAATTATGGTGTGCATACAGACTTTTTGCACCAAATCTACCAGTGAAGTTTCCGAAATTTGTGCATTTGAATTGCTATTTTTATGCGTTTTTGACATATATTCAAATGCAAAAACGCATTCTGTGACGAGATGTCGCGCGTGTTTGTACGTTGCCTGGGTATTTCAACTCGGTAGCCAAGCAAGCTCCGGCGCCAAAATTTTGCCAGTATTTTGTGCCTCGGCCAAATGCCACTCCAGGACCACAGTGCCACGTACCTGTAGAATCCGCATGCGAGTGCGTGAAAGTTTTGGTGAGAAAATCGCTAACTCTGGAACCAGATAAACTGGGAGCTGAAGTTTTAAAGTGCTATTCCTAGCTTAAATACAATTTGAAGATTTAAAATTCAGCTCCAGGGACGCGCAGTTCCAACGTGCTATGCCCTAAAAGTTTTTGACGGAAAAATTGGGAACCAAAAAAGTTGGAAAGCTGGAATTCTGACGGGATGTTTCTTGTCCAGGTACCACGTATTTGCACAATTAATTTCCTGAACTTCAGGGACAGTATTATTACAAATTGTAGCTACCGGTGTTTTTTGCATGTACATATATTTGTGTGAGTCATGGTCATCGTCGTTTTACTCATTCCTTTCCCTACCATGAAAAATATTACAATAAATTGTCGTATAAACACCGTGCTTGCCTACAGTACGAGGATACTAAGATTGTCCAGACAGCCAATGCGGTGACTCGATATTTGTGTTGTCACTGGAATGTTCCCGCACGCCGAGCATGGAAGTTAAATATGTGTCGGGTCTTTTGTACCTGTACTAGGATGTATGATTCAGGAGAATATCTAGAGCAATACGTGCTTCGATTTGCCGTCATTTTACCCCAAAATAACTTTATTCCAAAAGAAAAAAAAAATAAATCACTAATGGTCGTTAAGGCACTGATACTTTGATGTTCCTGACACTCGCTTCTCTACCATCCTATTTCATTCTTTCGGAAAAAGTGCTACCACAACCCTATTTTCCTCCCGTACGTTTCTTACGTACAAATAGCACGCAAGCGCCTCTCGTTCTAAAAAATCAAAGGTTTCATTCAGTCATTACAACAAACAGCTTTCCACGATTAACTCATTCATTTCGATGGCAAATTGGCACTCATGCACGCCCGGAAGTCAAACACACTCTCATGCTATGGCGAAATGAGGCACGAAAATGTTACCATGCGCCTTTCAATAACAAAGGCTGGAACGCACCAGGCGAGCCGGTGCGATCATGCGTTTTTGCATCAAAACTAA